GTTTCAAAGGTTCACACACTATTAGTTGTAAAAGAAACATTAGAGATTGCGTAGGCTAGTAGTCCCCAACTTTTAGAGCCTAAGAACCTTTATGTAAATTGCAAAAGACGTGTCCGGAGCCCTATATAATAGCAGTTATATGTTTAGTATCTGTCCTTGGAGAAAACACAAAGATAAAACTCTCCCATAAACTGGTAAAGTTTTAAAATAAATCTATAGTTTATTTATCATAAACTACATATACATTTGAAAAGGTCACACACATTAGTAAGAAATTACTTATAGCTCATAGATAAAACCTGCGTGGATTTTAAAGTTATCTTTCAACTACTTGGCCGCAGTGGCTCACTGTCTGACGCCCCAGTGTGAGACTGACGTCCCTATTCTACTGAAGAGCATATCAAACACCACGATTATTTCCCTTCAACTAGTTTGCTGTAGACCCTAGAATACAACCTAAAGACCTAATGATATTTTTGCTATACTGTGTGTATTCAGGGTTTTATTATAAGACCACACAGAAAGTCACTGAAGAAGTTGGCAGTGATGTACAAGCAATATAAATACAACTGAAGAAAAATAATAGATGAAATACTCAGGAAGGAGTCTAACAAAAAATGCACAGAATTTAAATGAAGAATACTTAAAAAACAGCACCAAAGAACACAAAAGACTTAAATGCTTGTTCTTGGACCCAGCAGTCATCACAAGGTATTAGTTCTCCCTAAATTCATCTACAATGTAATGCAATCTTGGTTTCTCAAAATGCCAGTAGGATCTCTTTGGAGTCAGACAAACTGATTCTAAATTGAATGTGAAAAAACAAATACTAAGAATGGCTGGAAATTTTCTGAAAGAGTAACAAGGTCATACAAGCTCCTCTGCATGTATCATAAAAGCTATACAAATGATAAAAGGTGGAACTGGCAAAAAGGTTTACAGATCAATGGAATGGAACAGAAAAGAAAGTCCCGAAGATCCAAATATATCTGGGAATTTCACGTAATGATAAAGGTGGCATTGCAAACCAATGGAAAACAGATGGAATATTCAATAAGTGATACTGAACTACTACTATGGGTAGCCATCTGGGAAAAATTAAAAATAAAGTTGGAGCCCTGACCAGTGTGGCTCAGTGGGTTGAGTGCCAGCCTGTGATTCCCAGTCAGGGCACACGCCTGGGTCGCCGGCCAGGTCCCCACTTGGGGGCGTGCTAGAGGCAACCAGTTGATCTATCAATCACACATCAATGTTTCTCCCTCCCTTCCCCCCTCTCTAAAATAAATGAATAAAATCTAAAAAGCACCCTAAAATAGGGTACAATGAAGAAGGTCTAGGTTTGGAGCCAAGATCAAAAGCTCAGTCTGGGCAGCTCAATTCAAAGCACCGAGTACGTAAGGCAGAGATGATGGACAGACAGCCGGGAAAAATTGGGGAGCATTCCAAACACATGTGATACCTGAAGCCACAGCACAGATAAGACTAGAGTGGGAAAGAGAGGAAGACTCAGAACCAAGACTTCAGGAACAACAAGGAAAGAGCTATCGGAAGAGCAGCAGGTTGGAGAAGCCTGAGGGACACCCAGAGCACAAGGAGGGAAATGAGAGCCCAGAAGAACAGAGTATTTCAAGGAGGACATTTTTGAAACTAAATAAACATCCACTCTGGATGTGCAATTAGAAAACAAAGGCCCAAGAATGAATCAAAGAGAATTCCCTAAAAACACAGAGTCCGGATCTACTTCTACTCTGAACGTTCCCAAAAGAAAGAACTCAGTTAAGTAACAGTAAATTCAGTCGAAACTGATAAGTCCTACAAAAATGTAGATAAAAAATAAATCTTTGTTTAGCGGTCAGAGGATACGGACAGGGATGTGTGAACTGTATGCCATTTTGCAGAGAGAAAACATCAACGCTTACTCTGAAATCCTACACTTTTTTAAATCTCAAAGATGTTAGATTATTTCCAGGTTGCTAAACCTTTTTAGCATGTTAAACTGTAGCACTTTCAGAGCAAAAATCAAATAGTATTCATCTCTGAACCTTAAGCATCTAGTTCAGTGCCTAAATTAAGTACTCGACTAAAAGAGAACAATAAAGAAAAGTTCGCTGAATGAAAACTGTGGGCACCAGAACACTTTTGTCCAAAGTGTGCTGGTGCTACAGCAACACGGCCTCAAAAAACACCACTCACTCCACAGAACACTTCATTTCTTTAGAAATAGAATGCTATGTGCAGAGATCTCATCCTTGTCTTAGGGGCGGGGGGTGGCGGGCCGTTGGGAGGACCTCTGGGCAACACATTCCACAGGTCTGAATGATAAACCCAAGTGCTGTCAGCCAGTGCAGTATCTGCAAAACTCAAGGGCGTACTCCACTGTGCCAGCCAGTATTGAATGTCTGCTCATTCATTCCTGGGAGATGTAGAAAATAGCAATGCTGAGACTTAACAGACTAGGTCCTTCCTTCCACACAAACTCAGCTAATTAAACTCATCAGTGGCGGCAGGATGATTGAAACACAACTGTTGGCACTCAGCTGGTATTAAGTTCAGACATGTTTCCTAACTTTCAGGTTAATGTTATTAGCTAAAATCTACCTTCTCATATGTGTTCTCAAAAGAATGGTCTACAAAAGCAAAAAACCAACAAACAAAACCCCCAAAAAGTAATCTCATCCTTTCTTTGACTAACTTTATATCAGATATTTTGGAGGGAAGCCACACATTTCTATGCTGCAGGAAAAGCATGAGTTTGGAAATAAGAATCATACCTCCAGTTGCACTGAACTATCCAGATGAATGATGATGATAATGATGATGATGATGATGATGATGAAAGGAACCCATCAAATTTATTTTGAAGCATGAACTCCAAATTAAAAAGTTGGAACTTATTACTTTGCACTCAGGCATGCAGCAAACTGAGTATTTATGGAGAAAACAAAGCTCTGGATTTTAATGACATATTCCGTATTCTAGGATCCCAATTTGAATTGATTGGTGAGCCTAGGGGCGGGGGAGGGGGAGGGGAGGCTAATCAGAGGCAGCCTCTGTATCTCTTCCTTTGGCTAATTTATTCAAACATGAAATATGAATAAAAATAATTATTACGGAGTAACAGGATTTATAAGTAGGGTTGTTATGTTCGATATGGTAACTTTTTAAACCCTTTGGATTAAAAGCTAAAACTCAATTCTACCTCCGTGAACTGAATAGCAGAAAGCTACCTTGCTCCTTTTAAAGAAAACTAGTGGAGGCTACCTAGCCCAAGCAGAAAAGCAATTCTCAAGTCACACAACCCCAAAAAAAAACTAAAGGTATTGACTTTTAGAAAGGATGTTTATAATGCTTTGGAGAAATGCACAACAGTTTACAAGACAAATAGCAAATAATATTAAACAGCAACAAATCAGGACAGAAAATAAACGAACTTCCATACAACTTGCCTGTCTTCTCTCCAAAATGTCCTTTGCCCACAGCACTGTTCACAGAGATCTGGCCAACATTAAGACACAGATTTGCTTAGCAGAGCTTTTCACCTTTTACCCGGAATAGTTATTTCGCGTTTTTTTAGATCCTGCCATTACATAGCACTTAAGAAATCCAAAGCAACTACAACTCTATGCTAAATGCCAAAAAATACAACCAGAAAACCCCAGCAAACAGGAAGACAATTCAAAATATTTCTAGCCAAGAGCCCTGTAATGAAGTTCTTGTCGTTGTGGTTTTTTTTACATTCTTAATCTGAATAGTAATACCTAAACACTCTTTGGGGGTGAGGGTGGGAGATAAAGGATTTGACCCCTAAATTACATTTCTAATCCCCCTTTCTACAGATATTAATGTGCTCGAGATACGCCGTTCTCCGTTTATCAAGGAATTAAAATTCATTTGTAGTTTGATTTTTTGCAGCGCTCTCCCATGTACTCACTTGAACGCATACACGACACGCAGGTGTGACGATGTCAGACTTACCAGGCACACAACATAACGCCCACCCAGAACTTACTCTGACTTGGTTTATCCGACTACGCAAGGCATCGTCTTGATGCTAGCAAAACAAAGCGTCTGCACCACTGCCACTTCTCAATGAACAGAAATTCCTGCAAACGGTAACAGCAAACTCACCCATTTCTCAAAGAAAGAGAAATCCCCATCTTAGAAACAATCGCAAAAAAAAAAAAAGGAAAAAAAAAAAAACCCACAACAACTTCTAAACCGCACATTCACATCAATGTTTTCAACTCAAAGCTCCAAACGCTGCGGCCAACCACACAACCGCCCACAATCACAGCGTTAGCGCCTTCTCTTCGATTTTGAATCTGGAGCCGGAAGGGGAAAAAACAAAACCCAGAAGAGTCGTCCAAACTTTCACCAAATGGGAGGAAATCATTTGAAGTTAAGGAAATGTGTTCAACGAGAGTCAACTGTCCCATTTCCCCGCCCCCGCCCCTTCCAGCGCCTGCACCGAATCCTCCCTGCAACATCGGCGGGAGGCGGGAGTGCTGGCGGCGAGATGCTCCAGGGGAGTCCAACGTACCCCGGGCGCCGGAAGAAATGTCAGGGGCCGGGCGTCGGAGACAAAGACCAGCCCGCCCAGCGCCCGGCGCGGTCCTGCGCCCCTAACCGCCCGGCGGAGTTGGGAGCACGGCCAAAGCGCCGCCGAAGTGCGCGCCCGGGGTCCCCCCGGCCCCCCTCCCGCCGCCGCAGCGCTGGCCCACCCCCGAGCCGTTTCCCTCCCAATTTGGAAACCGCGCGCCCGGGACAAAGCGGGAGGGCGCGCCGGACGCGACGGCGGGCCGCGGGTGGCGATGCCCCTCCGTGCCCGGCGGCGGGGACCACTCGGCGGCGCCCCCCCGTCCCTCCTCCCCCAAGCCCTCCTCTTCCCCGGCGCCCCGTCCCTCGCGGCCCCTCTCCCGCCTCCCACAAGTTCTCCCGTCCCCACCCGGAGCCCGCCCCTCGCCCGCGTTTCTTCAGCCGGCCCAGCGGTCGCCCCTCACCGGGCGGCGGGATCCCCCGGAGCCGCCTCCTCCGCCGGGCCTCAGCCCGTCCCGCCGGCCGCCGCCTCATGTGCCCCGCGCTGCCATCGCCTTCGCCACCACCCTCGCTTCTCCTCCTCTTCGGCTTCGGCTTCGGCCGCCGCCGCCGCCGCAGCCTTCGCCTCAGTCTCCTGCCGAGGCCGGAGCCGCTCCCGCCGCCGCCCGGACCCGCGGGGAGGCGCCTGCGCACTACGCGCCGCGATGGGGGCGGGGGCGTCCCGCCGCGGCCTGGGAGCGGGGGGCGTGCGGCACGTGGCGCTCGGGTGGGAGGGGGCGTCCCAGAGCGCGCCCGCGGGGGCGCGAGCGCCTAACTTTACGCGGTCGGGGCTGCGCGCGCTCCCGGGCGATCCGGGGCACGGTGGAGGCGCGGCGCGCGTGTAGCTCCCACCCGCGTGAGTTCTGCGCGGTGGACGCAGATCTCTCTGAGTCAGTACATTCCAACAGCTTGATTCCCAGGACCGGAGTGCCCCGTGGCAGGGCCTCCCTCGGAGCGGGCGGCTAACGGCGCAGTGAGGACACGCCCTTACCTGGCTATTCTGGGTGGGTCCAACTAGTCCCGGAGTCGTCCTCTGCGCTCCGCTAGGGCCCTGGTCCGGTGTACCCCAAGATGCTGATGTCCCTTTCTGGGTTCTGCTCTGAAGTTATTCGAGAATCCTACGAGCCCTTGGTAGGCTTACCATTCTAGCTCCTTTGATTAGTGGCTTCTAGAGGCGTTTCTAGATACGTTTGAAGTCCTAGACCTCTCGGATTAACGAGACCCTAATAGGCCACTTCCTCTTAACTCCTTGCATCCCAGCAGTCTAAAGACTTCTAAAAGTTTCTATGCACAGGAATCTCCAGTCTTGAACAGCCTGGTGAGAATCTGAAAATTCCTTAAATACTTGAAGTAGCGTGAGTCAGTGCACAACAAGAAGACGTACCAAGGAGATGATGGGGAAGTACTCTGCACAGTGCCTGCCAACTCTCACCCTCCGGAGTCATCTCGTTTGACCAGCTCTATACAAGAGGATAAGCTTTTATTTCACCCGTTTAACCAGAGAGGAGATTAAGCTCTAACGAATGAGGTTCAACACCCCCCCACCACCTACACCCGGAAAGCGGGGTCCAGCCCTGACAGCTAGCCCAGAGGTTGAAAAACTTAAGGGCTAGGCACCTGGCCCACTAACAAAGTTTTGTTTGGCCAGTACAGTGTTTTCCAAAAATATGAATAAACGGACAAATTTTTAAAAAACTATTTCTGGCTTCTCACTAAAATGTCAAAAAATGTGTTCACTTTGAGTCTCTGTATTCAAGTGGCGGCTACTTCCGAGTAACATCCGTTTATCCAGGGCAGGTGCTGTCCCCATTCAGCTGCTTGGGCTCTGTGCTTAAGTTCTCTTCCCGCTCCCCACCCCCTGCACCCCCTCTTCTTGCCACGCCCCAGTCCGGTCCCCAATCATCACATTTCCTCTACAAATGTATTCAAAATGACAGGTTATGAAGACTGAATTTATGAAAATTTAAATAAAGAACACGTTAGTTAAAGTAGCACAGGTGACACATCATTGTACATGCTGATGGAAATGTTAAACCTCACATATTGCTAAAAGCAAGTACAAATTGGTACAAATCGCTTTGGAAAACGGGCACTATCTACTAACGCTGAATCTGCGGAAGGATACACTATGACTCCATGGGAATTCCACAGAAATGTGTATAAATGTTCACCAAAATACTTATACTAAAGTGTTTTTTTTTCTTTTTTCTTTTTGGAAGCCCCACCCCCCTAGGAGTATTAATAGCAGCACTATTTGTAGAAGCCAAAAAAACTGGAAACCACAAAACCCACCAACTATAGAAAGGATAGATAAATTGCATTATATTCACACAATGGTACATTACACAGCAATGAGAATGAACAATCACAATGGCACACGGTAAGACAGGTGAATCTCACAAAACCTTCCATTTATGTAAGTTCAAAAACAGGCAAAACGAACGTGAGCTGTTAGAAGCAAGGGTAGTAGTTAACCCAACAGAAGAATAGTTACTGGAAAAGGGCATGAGAACTGTTTAGGGGCTGGTCCTGTTCTGTTAATCCGGATGCTGAATACACAGGCGTGTTCAGCTGCCACATCTGAGCTACGCACTTTTGTGGGGCATATTAGGACTTCGGTAAAAATCTTTGCCCTGACTGGTGCAGCTCAGTGGATTGAGTGCGGGCCTGCGAACCAAAGAATCATGGTTTGGTTCCCAGTCAGGGCACATGCCTGGGTTGCGGGCCAGTTCCCAGTGGGGGGATGCACGAGAGGCAACCATCCATTGATATTTCTCTCCCTCTCTCCTTCCCTTCCCCTCTAAAGATAAATAAATGAAAAATTTTTAAAAATCTTTAACGTGGTGTTAAAGCATTTGATTATGTATGTGTGCATATAGCATATATGTATATAAAGAATATATATAAGCAAATGTACAGGGTTTACAGTTGTATGTGAAACTGTTTATTTTTGTATTATGAATTGTTGTCTTATTTTCCATACAAACAGTGGTAAATCTACTTTTGCCCCACCCTGTAGCATGTATTATTTATGTGCATAATTAATATAGAATTAATGTTTATTAAAGATTTTCTCATAAATTCGTAGATAAATCTGCGGGGGAAGGCTTCCCACCTTTTAGCACTGGCCACTGGTCATGGAGGTTGAGAACACCACACTTTTTGCATCTGTAAATTAACGGGTAAATGTGGTGCCAGCTTTCCTGGGGGAATATGACTACCCAAATTTAGGTATGAATGGGGGTCTGTCCGCCCGAATTCTTATCTTGCTCCAGACTCCATTTGGTCATTCTGTTGTAAAACAAATACGTGACAGGAGGCAGTTAATTAAAATTGGGGCAATTTCCAAAGTTATTTATGGGCTTTTACTGTAAGCATCAGGGACTCCCTCCTAAAATAGATAGTAACCAGAGGTAGGCCATTAACCGAAGTTGTTTTATGGGCTCTTTCTTTGGGCACGGGGGACCCTCTCCCACATTCAGGCCTTGGGATGAAAGCACAGTTTCAAGGCTTTCTTTCTTGCTAATATAGTGTTTCTTGTGATATTGAAACACCTGGCGATATTATCAGAACAGGCTTAGGACTGCTGAGTTAGCATGTGAGACTCGTCTCCTTCCTCCTCCCTGCCTCAGTTTACTATTTATTCTATCTAATTGGTAAAAGGTGTTTCCTGGCAACCAGGGTGCTAAATGCTGGCCAGTGAGTTCTGCAGTCTCAGAGTTCTTCCTATGCTGTCTCCTGCTTCATAATTACAGGCGGGAAACCAAGGCCAGAAACCTGAGCCAGAGGATCTCCAGACCGGGCAGTCACCAGGGGCCAGAGCAAACCAGGGTGGCTGCTAGAATGGGCGCTCCTGGAAGGGAGGGCCACAGCACACACCCCGGCTTCCAGAGCAGGGTCCAGCACAGCAGAGCTGCTTAGAAAATAGGTGCAGAATGAATGAGTGAAGGGAGGCTTGTCCTTCCCAGCACAAAGGGGCTACGAGGGGGAAGAAAAAGAAGCCTCAAGTTTCACACAGGGAAATGGGGCTGGTTTCCAGCCCCTGGCAGGGAGGGGCGGAGCCCAGTGCTGTGAGAACATCACTGTATTCACATGGGGCCCAGGCAGAAAAAGATCAAAACCCAATTTGAGAACTTTGAGAGTCGCCCTGGGGCTCTGCGGTTTGGGAACTGTAAGGTCAGCTTGAAGACTGCAGTGTGTCACTATTTCCATGACACATTTTCCAGGGTCTCCACTTGGCTGGTAAACTCAGAACAAATTCTTCTGTGCTGGGGGATGGGCGCAGAGGCCCAGAGAGGTGGGATTGGAGAAAGCTCCCTGCCAGCCCCAAACAGGCTGATAATAAGAATTGTTAAAGAAGCTCTTGCCGACTGTACTAACAGCAGGGCGTGGGTATTAGTAACGCAACTCCTCCCTCATAATCCCCAGCAGTTTCAGCTAACCTGGCGGGACACATTATACTGCTTCTCCCTGCCACAGGATGTTGGCTGAAGCAGATTTTTTTGTTGTCATTTTTTTTTTTTGAATAGGTAACACAAGAAGGAGCGGTAAGGTGAGCCCCCACCAGTGTTTCCCAGAGCCTGGTTAGCACTTTCTTGTATATTAACGTTGAATTTTAAACCACGATCAGTCTACTTGCAAATGAGGAACAGGTGAAGTCCGGGCCGGAGTTGGGGGTGAGACTAAGACAGGAGAGTGGGAAGCCAGGACAAATCCCTTGGGGAGCAGAATCGGGAAACTGAGACGGATGGCTGAGCACACCGGCTTCGCAATGTGCAGCCAGGTGCACACGGCCACGGGGCAGAAGGCCTGGCAGGGGGCACAACTGGGAGAACAAGGACCTCACCCCCAGGGCAACCTTTCCTCCCTGGAGGCCACATCCAGGCCTCAGGGCGTTTCAGCTCCAGGCCCGGAAAAGCAGCAAAACCAGGTGGGCGGTGCCAGAAGCAAGTGCAATGACTAACGACCCCCTGCCTGTCACTGACCAATCAGGGGAGACCAGGACCCTGAAAGGGCGCACCTGGAGATCTGATGAATATTCTACTGGAAACCCTCCCCTGAGACCTCCCCTCAGATTCCCGTAAGAAAAAGATAAAAGCCTTAAGAAAAAGGACCCAGGGCACACGTCCTCTCCCTCTGGGGAGCAGCCTGAGCCATTTCCTTTCCCTTCTTCTTCCCCCACTTCTTTCCCCTCAAACACGTGTCTCCTAAACTCTAAGGCAACCGGCAGCTGGCAGCTTGTCCCGGGCTCATCCCCTGAACCTGCCCCCGGAGGCCTCTTTTCTCTGCCTTCCCAGCGAGCTAAGGCAGCCCCCGACCTCCGCCCTCCTGTTACTTCTCCCGTGCTCGGCCCTTCCTTGTGTCACTGTCCCCAGCTTTAGTAAATGCACCCGCCCAGCCACCTGGAGTCCTGTTGCGAAGTCTTTCCTACACGAAGTCAAGCACCCACACACTACAGCTGGCCCTAGGCAGGCCGGCTCAGGCCTCCTGTCCAGTAACAGGAAGAAAGGTGTAGGAGGGGGATGAAGAGACCTGCTCTGGGACTCCCAACCGGCAAGGACATCTGGACAGGCCCACACACCGTGCCCTGGCCCGGGACCCACTCTACCTTGGTGGCAGGCAGGGGAGCAGGTGCACGGTCCCGGAACGGCTGGAAGCCCTGGCTTCAGAGGCTTGCTCTGCCTAGCTGTTTGTACTTGTCTACTGGAATTTCTAAGATGGTGTGAGAAAGAGATGATGAAATGCACATGAAATCGCATTATTAATAGTTAGGGTTAATTTTTTATTGTCCTGTGGTAGGTCGTGGTCATCATCATTGGTTGGATAGCTGGGCTGTTTACCTGTGGGATCTGGCTAAGCAATTAAACTCGCTGAGCCTTGCTTCCCTCACTCGTAAGATGGGCGTGATGACATCTAAGGGTCAGGGCTGCTGTGAGGATTAAATAAGATACGCAAAGTGCCTGAACCTCATACACTGTCAAGGCAACAGTCCCTTTCCCTAGTGGGCGGCAGAGGAAGCTGGGTGTATGTGGATGTTCCAAAGCCCCCAACACGAGGACCTTAGCAAAACATTACAAATCCCCGCATCGCGCACGTGTCATCTGAGACAGTGGTTTCTACTGCTGTCCTTTCGCAGCTCGGAACCATTCCTTCACAAGACAGGGTTCTATACCATCGGAATGGCTGCAGTCTGATTCGGCCTTCTAATTCCCACTATCAACACCCGCTTAGAAGTTTTCCAAATATGTGGCAGTCTCCCCAGAAAGATTAGTGGGTCCCAACAGCATTTTTCTGGCCCCAGGCCGGTGGCTCTTGGGGCTGTCCTTGGACAATTGCCGTAAGGTCCTTGGAACTCAGCGTCTGTTTTCAGGAGGGGTTGCTAAACCCTCCCCAACTCAGGCGCCTACTAGGGGCTGCCTCAGCCCAGCCCCATGGTCTGGAAACTTCCACTGCCCCTACCTGTTCCTGGTACCCCACTCTCTGCCTCTCTGGGCCCGAGGTACTACTAAGGGGCTTAATGTTTTCTTCTCTGGGACACCCCCAGCCCTTTAGCCTGGGTCCTTCCCACTCCAGCCCAACTCAGAGCACCCCCTGTTCCTCGTCCAATTCACTCTCCACCATCCCCTCACTCACAGCCCTCCATAGCTCGAGGCAAAGGCTGCAGGTCCCTCCCTTCCATTTCCTTCCCTCAATTCCCTTGGGCTATATATAGCACAGCTGCGCCTTAGATTGTGTGGAGCTTCAAGTCCCAGCCCCCCCCTCCCCTCCCCTTTTCCTCCCCCAACACACGAGGGAGCCTGAAGCTGCTGGCTAAGGTAGGGAAGCCCAGCAAGAGGTGGCAGTAGGGGGCGTTTCAGAGGGACAGGAAAGGGTGGGCTGCACTGGGGACCACCCAGAGTCTGTCGTCAGGGACTTTCCACTTCTCCTCCAGCCTGCTAACCGTGCCCTGCCACTTGCTCTTTCTGAAGGAAGAGGAACAGGCGGAGTGTGCTGGGAATTCTCACCATCATCTCACTTAACCATTAGGATGATCCTGTGGGTGCCTGCTGTCTCCAGTTCACCGACGGTGTAGACTCGGAGAGGTCAAGCGGTAGAAGGGCGAGCATGTAGAGGGTGGGTGGTCAAGCAGCTAACTGACCCACGTCTGACACCAGCCCACACCCGGGACCCCCTGCCCGCCAGCCTCATTCGGTCAAAGCCTGCAAACTAGAATTTCTGTTCGTGGGATCTGACCTGGAAGGAAGAAGTTTACTGAGCAAATTACTCCTGTAGAAGTGCTGGAAACAAAATAATGATTAAAGACTTGGCACATTAACAAAAAAATGTTATCATAATTTTATCTTACATGTTGACTAAAGCAAGACTCTCTGGAAGTCTGTTCCTTAGAAGATCTGTGTGTCTTCCAAATGTGTTTTGGAAATAAAAAGCAATTTTCTCCCATTTCAGGACTTCCCCTTCACTGTACAGTCTGTGATAGTGAGACTGGATTTCAGGAAAGGTGACCTGGACCTTTTTCTCTACGTCGCTCCCTGGGACCTGGGGCGAGACATCTAACCCAAGCCTCAGTGTTTCATCAGTGAAATGGGAAGAGCAATAGTAACAGTGCTGACTTCATAGCTATTGTAAGGATTATTCAGTGAATAAAATAATCTACTGAATGCAGCGAGCACACTTTCGGCTCTTAGGTGCTCTGTAAATCATAGCAACTATTATTCTTTTCTCAGTTCAGCGCTGGGCTGCTGTGGAGCATCGACATGATCTCAGCAGGGAGACGCTGAACTTCACCCTCCAGCAGGGATGCCCAACCTGTGGCCTGTGGGCTGCGTGCAGCCCAGGATGGCTGTGAATGCAGCCCAGCACGAAACCATAAATTTACTTAAAACATGATGAGATTTTTGTGTGTGTGTGATTACGTGCCGCAATGTATTTAATGTGTGGCCCAAGACAGCTCTTCCTCCAGTGTGATGCAGAGACGCCAAAAGGTTGGACACCCCTGCCAGAGCTTAGTTCCTGTTTTCTGAAGGGCTTGGAGTTGATCTGGATTCTTGCCCTGTCTCATCCAGACATTTCTTACCCTCCCCCCCCCGCCCCACCTCTGGGCTAGATCATCCATCTCCCGAGAATTCAGGCCACTATTGGGACCGGGAGAGGCAGCAGGGGAGAGTGTGTGAATGGCTGGGAGGAGAGTTCCCAGGGACACTGGGGACACGTGAAGGCCTTGGGGAGTTGCCGTGACCCTGGGTCTCATCCTGGAGCAGTGAGTGCTGGGGAGAGAAAAGAGAGACATCAGCTGCTGGACGGGTTTCCAGTGCTGAAAAGCCCCTTCTGGACCGACGCATGGGGCTGAGGGTAACTGAGGGAAGGAGCAAAGGCCCGGGACGGAGTGGGACTCTCCAGAGTGCATCGCAATCTTTCTCCACTTGCTTGGCCAGAAGATACTTTTCCTAATTGAGTGGCATGATCGATTGGCATTCCTAAGCTTCAGTATCAATCTGGCGAGGCTTTCAGCCTGGCCAGCCTCCTGGAAAGCGGCTCCAGGAGCACAGACTTTGGCGCCAGCCAGACCTGGGTTCAGATCAGGCACTGCTGTTTCCTAGGTGTCTATCCTTGGACAAATCCGATAGCCTCTCGGAAGCTCAGTTCCCTCATCTCTAAACAAACAGCTACTTGCCCTGGCTGGTGTGGCTCAGTGGATTGAGTGTCGGCCTGCGAACCAAAGGGTTGGTGGTTCGATTCCCAGTCAGGGCACACCCCCAGCACGGGTACACATGAGAGGCAACTACACATTGATGGTTCTCTCCCTTTCTTTCTCCCTACCCTCCCCTCTCTCTGAAAATAAATAAATAAAATCTTTAAACAAACAGCTGCTTACCATGGAGCATAGTACAGAGGTTGCAATGCAAGTGTCTAGAACAGAATAGGCACTAACGCTGGTCATTGTCACCTCTGTAACCTGAGTGAGCGTTACCCGCAGGTGGTGTGAAGACCCCTAGAGATGCGAGGGAAGTCCCGGTTGTTCCAAACTCCTGAACAAATCTCCTTGGTCCAGAAAGCATCCTTGAAGGCATCAAGACAAGACCAGAGAGCCTGCCTCCCACAGTTGGAACATTTTCTTTCCAGCCCACATTGTTCATAAGAATATTTGAGGCACTATACTTCATGGGAGAACCCCGGATCCCTGCCCATCCTTGCCTCTATGTTCCCATCTCAGTTCTCCAGACTGAGTCCACCGTTGACCCAGCCATTCATGTCCATGCAAATTAAAAGATTAAACCTGCGTCAGGGCTCCTTTCCATGTGGTCTTCCCTTGCTCTCCAGTGCCTGGAGGCCAGCCTGAAACTCAGCAGACGTGGGGTTAAGACCAATGCCCTGACCTATCTCCTCCCCTCTCCATTCCCGACTTCAAAGTCTCCATAAAGCCGGCTGCTTCTTCTCCGACCCCAGAGGGGCAGCTTCATCATCAGCTCTTGGCCGGTTCAACAGACGCTGAGCCCTGGCCTGGCGGTTTGCAGTCCACTTCCTAGCCATTTCCCGCGGTAAGCACCAGCGTGCTGAGGGCCCGTAGGGAAAGGGGGAGCAAGCAGGTATCAAAGTGGCCTCAAGCAGGGCGTTTGTTTCGTGGTTAGATTTAGAAGGCAGCCCACAGGCGAGAACCCCGGGGCTGGGACGCTGTCTAGTTTGCAATCAGAGCAGACATTTGCAGGGGTTAGCGAGTAGAGCAATAGGGGTCACCAGCCCAGGGATGGCGGCAGGGGGTTGCTACATGCAAAGACACTGGCAAGAGATGGACCTGGAAATGGGAACAACTCAGGGACCAGAGTTTGTTCCGTGAGCATTCATGTGCAAAACCCAAGCTAAAAGCATACACAAATCCATGTCTGATTGCTCTGCTCGCTGGCTCCGGTGATTGGGCAGCCATCTCTGAGCCTGGGATGGCTCTGGCTCCCTGGGGCCAGATCCTGCTCTGTAGCTCCCTCAGGAGCAACTGTCACCAACTCAAGGCCAGTTGGGGGTGGGGGGGTCCCAAGGTTCAAAGCCTTTTCCTCCCACCCTCGCCTGTGGATTTTTCCAGCTGGTTTTTTTTTTTTTTTTGGCCCAAGGATGACACTCACAGGGGTGCAGATTGGGGAGGGGGAAGCAGGGAAAACGGTGAAGTCAGAACAGGCTGGGGAAGAGGCCGATGTTCGGGAGACGGGGAAACGGCGCCAGAGGTCCAGCGTCTGCGAGGGGACACCTGGGCTACCGTTTCAGGCAGCGGCATGGTGAGGGTCTCGGGGGGGAGGGCAGCTTTCTCTTCTCCACCCCTACACTGAGGAACGCTGCAGTTCTGATTGTGGGGCGCCTCCTTCTAGGGCTGGGCTGAGGCCTAGGTACCCCGGCTGCTGGCCTCGGGGAGGGGGGCAGGATCATGTCTGCTGACAAAGGCTGGCCGGCGCCCCCCGAAGGCGAGGACAGCGTGTCTGAGAAGCTCCTGAGGAAGACCAGGGAGTCTCCCCTGGTGCCTATAGGTGAGTGGGAGAGGAAGGAATGGGGAGAGGCGTGGGGTGGGGGGCTTCTTTTAGAGAACACCCCTCCAAGTCCTTCCAAAGAGTGAAGCAGAGCACTCAAGGGGTCCCACGCACTGAACAGTCAATAGCCAGGAGTGAGCCAACAGCAGAGGTGTCCAGGGGACAAAGGGACACCCCCCCACAATGAAATGAGGAGGTCTGGCTGGGTGGAGGTGGCGGCCAAGTGGGTGCCTGGGATTTGGGGAAACGTGGGGCACCAACACCAGTGTCCGGGAGGGGGGAGGAAGGGGCAGTTTGGGACCCCCCAGGGCTTTCTTCCTGAAGGTGCTGGGGAAGCAGGAAAACGGCTGCACCAGGATGCCCAGAGCAGAGCTGACGGGGGGAGGAGAGTCATGATGATGGGCTGTGTATGGGAGAGGGGCACCACCAGCAGGGGCAGCCACTTTGAAAATGCCCCCCAGAGGAACCAAATAACTGCCCCAACAACCCTTGAAACTGCACCAAAGCAGCTGTTCATCCAGGTGCCCGGTCTGCCTAGTGAGGTGTATCTCTCATCAAGAGTGATGCGCTTCGTGGATGAGGCCCAGGTCACGTTTTCCGACTACAGGCCTAGGAGGCTGCCTGGTGGTGGCGGCCTACAGGATTTACCGGCTGAAGGCTCGGGGCTCCACCAGGATGTCCATACACCTGATTCACACCCGCGTGGCGGCACAGGCCTGCGCGGTGGGCGCGATCATGCTGGGTGAGTGGGGCCCCGGGAGGATGAACGGGAGCGGAGTCCTGATAGTCAAGGGACCACGATTTCAGTCCCTGCTCCCTGTGCAAGGCTCCGTGTCAAGCCCTTGGTGACACCGCCATGCCGAGACATTTTCAGGGGTCCCTGGTTAATCTCCTGTCCCAGGCCCGTGGGCACAGTGTGCAGTCTGGGTCATGGCAAGTGTGTCCCAGAGGTGAGAAAAAACTGCAGCAGAACCCAGGCTGAGTCTCTCTTCCTCTGTGGGTCACCAGAGCCAGAGATGAAAATAACTAGACAGCTGCGTGACAGGGGACAAACCCTTTTCTCCCATCCTTGGTTTCCCCGAGTGTAACGTAATAACCGTCCCTGGCTTGCCTACCGCCCAGGTTGCTCAGATAGAAATGCACTTGACATGCTTTGTGAGCTGTCGAACGGGTTGCTTCCCCAGGCTGTGCGGTCAGGCGCTTATAGTAACCGGGGAGCCCTGGGGCACAGAGACGAGAGAGCAGGCTGGACTCTCCAGGGGCCAGCTGGAGCCAGACCACGGGGACTCTGCTCCGCTGTCACTCCTCCCTGGAACACCTGGGAGGGTCAGAGGGTGGGTGAAACTTGCAACGCCAAGGGGCATTTTCCCGTCTCCCTCACGCAGGTGCCATGTACACCATGTTCAGAGATTACATCAAGAGAACAGCGCAGGATGCGGGGGAAAAGTAGGTTCCCATGGCCCAGGGCAGTCAGACCCTCCCATCGACCCCTGCCATGTTCCTAATAAAGGAGTTTTGCAGAAAATCGACAAGTCTCTTGTTCACCTGGGGGAGGGCAGAGAAAGGGGTCGGCAGTGGCTGGAAGGGGAACCTTAGAGCAAAGGGTTGGAAATCAGAGCGTTCTGGCCCCGCCTCCAGGGCGACAGGGACTCTGGGGGGAGGGGTGGGGAGAAGGCAGGTGCAGCAGACCGCCCAGGCCGGCTCAGGTCCCACCCCGGGAAGCACGGCAGAGGGCGCGGGCCGCCGCAAGTGGGAGCGGGGCAGCGAACAGGCCTCCGTGCTCACGGGGACACTGCATCAAGAGGCGGAAGCGCGGCTCGCCATGGGGCCGCCTCCCCGGGGACCCGGCAGGAAGAGGGCTGCAGCTGGGAGCGGAGTCAGGGAAACCTCGGGGGAGAGGGCAGGGCTTCAGAGCCCCAGCACCGGGACGAGGCTACGCCGGAGGAAAGGGGGCGGAGGGCGGGATGAAAGGAACGGGGAAAAGCAGAGGTCAGAATGTTCTGTTTACTTATAAACCATGGCTGAGGTCAAACTTGTAAAAAAAAAAAAAAATTCCATGTAAATGCCGAGGCGAGGGCCTCTTGGGGTTGGGGTTGAACACTGTCCGTCCCCTTCCCCTTCCCGGAGCCCGAGCTCCTCTCTGTCCCCTGGGCACGGAGCCAGGCAGACACCAGAGAGAGAGGACCAGGAGGCACCTTCCGCCTCCCTCACTGGGGCCTGGGTTGGAGGCTCCTGGGTGCTCAAGACGGCTACAGCAGCTCCAGACACTGACAACACGGACTCCAGTCGCTCGAGGTCCTAGCTTCCAGTCCAGGAGGCAGCTCCTGCGGGGAGTGGGGGCTGCTGGGAGCCCAGCCCTCACATGGGGTAATTGAGCACAACATCCTGCTTGGCGAGCTCCAGCAACATGGGGTCGTCGAAGAACTTGCTGATGCTCACGTCCTCACTCAGGCCCTGCGGAGGGTGGGGCGGGCACGAGGGTGAGCCCCGTGGTGTGTGGACGCGCTGGGGGCCCCCGGGAGCTGCGGCTGGGCGGGAGGATGGTCGGGGGTGGAATGCCAGCAAGCTTCTTTTAGGGGCCCTGCTTAATTTCGGGCACTGTCACCGAGGAGCAGGTCCTTCCTCTCCAAACAGCCCGGGTCCCAGGCCTGTGCAGAATGCACCCCTACGGTCCAGTGAACTGCTCCTCGTCTTTGGGAGAAGCGCCCGAAAGGCAGCAGCAAAGAGAGGGAAAGCGCTTGCTGGAAGCCCCTGGGGCGGGGGGTGGGGGGTCTGAGGGCACACACCTTCCGGCGCCGGGTTTTGATCATGAATTCTCGGGCCAGGTGAGGGGCCGGCTGTGGCTCCAAGGGGCGAATGACGATGCTCTTGTCCAGGGGATCGCCAGGAACAATCTGAAAGGCAAAGGGGTCTCAGGGCGCCCAGGCAGGCCGCCTGCAGTGCATTGGGGCTCGGAAGCAGGACTCTTCTCCAGGAGGCTGGAAAGTCTCAGTCCGGACTTGGGAGGGGACAGATCAGCGGGGCTGGTCTCGCATGGGGCGGGGGGGAGGCCAGGTCGGCCAGCCCGCACCACCGTCTTACCTGCCAGTGGTGGAAGACGGACAAGGAAAAGGCCTGCCCCTGGGTGTGAGTCCGCAGGTCAGTCTCGAAGCCAAAGGAGTCGATGGCTGGGATGAAAGCTTTGATGGTGTAGAGAGGGGAGCCCGGGATGGGCGCGTCCTGGGTCACGTGTCCCCTGAGGCAGAACAGCAAAGGCTGAGTCCCTAGTCCCACAGAGGTGAGCGCAGAACAGCAATCTGCCCGCAAACGGGAATCACCATCAGAGACAGGGTAACTGCGGATGCACCACGGGAGGCAGGAAGGGCTGGGCCTCCCGGTCTAACTCCTTATGGAGGTCCCAGAGGGCAGCACCCTCTGGGCTGGATGGGCACACCAAAGGGCAAGGTTTCACAGGCGTTCTCACCACTGACCCCCTGCAGTACTCCCCCCAGGAGCTCTCTCAGGGTGGGTGTCCAATAAGGAATCTCAAATTTTAATCCGCAGGAAATCTGGGGATTTCCTCATTCCTGTTCCACTTTCTTCTGAAAACTCAGCTCGTCAGGTTTCAGGAGCAGAGAGAGTGGGAGGCGGGTCCCTGCAAGGTAGCCGCGTGACTTCCCGCTCTGCGCTTCCTGTCCTTGCACTCCCCAGCGTGCCTGGGGCTGCTCACCTGCGCCTGGCCAGGACGGTATACACGGCGGAGACGCAGTCTGCAGGGGCCTGGACCTCCACAAAGTAGTAAGGCTCCATCAGGCGAGGGGTGGCCTGAAACAGCAGCGAGAGCGGGTCCCTCAGCTGGGGGAAGGCTGTGGACCCAGTGCCCTGAGGCCGCAGAGCCCTCCCGGCTCACGCACCATGAGGAAGGCGGAGTAGACCACTCTCCTGGCCGTGGGGATGATCTGGCCCCCGCCCCGGTGCAGCGGCTCCTGGGCGACCACAGCGTCTAGGATCTTAAACTTGACATTTCGAATCACTGAAAAGGAGAAGGGGCGGCCGATTTAAGGAGTGGTTCTGGGTTCTGGTGCTAATCGAGGGCCCACGGCCAGAGCAGCAGGAGCCTCTTGAAGCTCTAAAGCTGTCTCTCAGCCACGAAAGGGAAGGCACCCGAGCACTTTGCAAATGGGTGCTCTGATGGGGTGCGCGCGGCCTACAGCAAAGAGGACCGAGGCCAGGCGTGTGCGCGCTCATCTCAGGCCGTGCTCGGACACGCAGAGCCTTCCCAGAAGTTTACGGGCTTCCTTTATAGACATCCGATTATTTCGGGATGTAGAGTAAGTTCCAGGAATTGCGTTATTTTGTTCCAATGAGTCCAGTTCTGCTCTATGAACCGCTCCAATCCCATCCTCCTCTCCACCCACCTCCTCAAACACGTTCCTTCTCAGGAATGAGGAACAAACGTCGATCTAGAAATGACTTCGTTTGCAGGGCGTGCCAAGTGGCAGCAGCAGGCTCGGGAGGGACAGAGGGAGGAAGCTGGCCCGGGACACGGGACGGCCCCACGTGCCCCGAGCTGCTTCTCCCGCTGGGTCCCAGAGAGGGGCCCACCCACCCAGGTCCTGTCCCCGGGGCGCAAGGGCCCCAGAGGACGAAGGCAGGGGAGGGGGAGAGACTGGCAGACTCACACTCATCACAGAGGGGTCCTTCCCTGGTTCCCCACTGGAAGCCCTGGACTATGCTGTCCTTCACCGAGCCAAGAAGAGCCTTGTCCACCTGCACAGAACACAGGAGTCCTTTAGTAGTGACCCTGGCGACAGCCAAAGAGTTTAGAGGGAGGGGAAGGCAGGCACACTGGCAAGAGGACATTCTCCTCCACCAGAAGACACGCAATACTTTCAGGGGAAAGAAAGAACACTCCGCAGTCTCTCCACTGGAGCCACGAGACCCCCCTGTGGCACCCATCAGCTCCGCTGTACCTCAGAGGGCAGGGTGTCGTCCACCAGGATGTTGGGCCCCGTGGCGTCAGGGCCGAAGGCCCAGATGGAACGGGCAGCTAGCAGATCCCAGTCGTACTTGGTCTGGAAGAACTCTCCCAGCTTCTTCCTGGGGAGGAGGAGACGACGGGGGCTCGGCCAGCTCTGTGACTGCGGGCACCCGGGGCCACGGGCCCGCCCACCCCGCGCCCAGGACTAGAGCGGTGCTACTTTCTCTGGGGGAAGCGTGGCATCGGGGACCCCGTGGGTACGCGGCGGCGCCCCGCCCCGCTGCCCCGGCGCCCGAGCTGTGTTCTCGCCTGTTCCACGTGATCTGGACCACCTCGTTCTCGATGTCTTCAGCCAGGCCCTTCTCCAGGGGCTCGGCAATCATGGTGATCTTGTTTCTGGTCAGAAAGGAAACGAGTCATGAGCCGGGCGGGTGGGACGAACAGAAGGGCCGTTCCTAAGAAAAGGGGGACGACGGGAACACAGCTAAGGCAGTGACATTAGCGAAAGCCACAGGGGCCGGATCGAGCCAGAAGGGCCGACCTTCCGTCTTCCGTCACCCGAACCTACCACTGCATAAAAAGTAAGGTTTGGGGCGGCATTCCAGATGGCCGTGCTGCAGAGCGAGGGTGGGGGGAATGGCTGCAAGGCACCTCGAAGGAGAAAGTCCGGCACAGGGTCTCCCAGGATTGTGCCCACGGGCGCACGGGTCAGAGGCCTGGGCTGCATGCGCCTCCTGAGCACCCGCACCCCAAGGCTGCGGGGTCTGTCTCCACAGAGCCCGCGATGGTGGTGGAGTTGGTGGGGAGGGGAGGGTGTCTTCTGGCAGTCCAAGGGACACCGTGACCCCAGCTTACTTTCTTTTCTAAAAGTTATTTTTTAAATCCTCACCTGAGGATACGTTTCTTGATTTTAGACAGAAAGGAAGGGACAGAGAGGAGAAACGTCGATGCGAGAGAAACACATCGGTTGCCCACCGTCTGTGCCCCAACTGGGGACTGAACCCACGGCTCAGGTACGTGCCCTGGCCGGGAACTGAACCCGCAACCTTTCGGAGTACGGCACGGCGCACCAACCACGCCGCCCAGCCAGGCTCCAAGCTTACTTCTTATTGGGCGTTTCTGCAAAGCACTTGAGGGAGGATGTTTCTACCACCGTCTCACAGAAGGTAACAACGGGATCAGCAACCTGGGAAACCAGACAAGGTATTAGGCGAGGTCCTGTTTTGGGCGAGAAGGACGACCTTCTGCCAGAGGGAATTCCGGGGGCCCCCTGCCACTGTCTCCGTGAGCCACCCTAGTCTTAATCGGCACCAGTGACACATGAAATCGCAAGCTGACAGTCCCTGAAAGTCACCATCACTAAGAAACCTGAGAAAATGTCGTGTGGTGCAGCACTTGTGTTCTGGAGCCAAGAGTGTACGAGGGTCGAGTTCGGATTTAAACATAGCTCCCCAAGGTGTCTCTCAGCATCCGTGCAGCCGGGCCACCGCTGTTCACGGAACACCTCCGTGGGTCTGTCAGAGGTGGCGCCGAGACGGGCCGCGGAGGACCCGTGCTGCTCTGCTCT